AGCTTTTAGAACTTTGAAGTGACTTATGTTCTGGTGTGTCTGTCTCCCATGTTTAACGTGGTTTTTCCATGACCACACACACACACACACATATGTATATATGTAGGATATGTATGTATGTATATGGATAGATGGAACAAAATTCTGATTTTACTTTTAAGGAAGGAAGGAAAGAAGGAAAGAAGGAAAGAAGGAAAGAGCAAAGTCAGAATTTTGTTCCATCTATATACACGAAGAGTGAATTCTAAATGTTTATTCTTTTGCTTTCCTGCAAAAGTCCAATAACAGGCCAATATATCTAGCTATAATGAATGTAATTGCTAACTCCTCTTCCTCATATATGTACCACAACTAGGGGAAGACAAAAATGGCCCCAAAACAGAATCAGTGGAGCTTGCTTCCAGAGTAGGAAGACAGGATACTGGAGACAACAATGCCTGAAGCAGAGTCTTCAAGTAATCTACCTCCCTTCTGCCCCTTGGAATCAGAAAATCCTGTTCCAATACCTGCAGTCACAAGAAGCACAACTAAGGCAACTCTGGTGCAACCTGAGCAATTGCCCCAACTAAACCAGTCCTACCAGAGCATTCCCCTCTGCCACTTCCCCTAGTAACAGGGGGCCTTGAGAACACTTCACAACTTAAATCTTTGCTTACTAGAGATCCTTAGTCACACACCACCTTAACTATCAGAGATAAAGCAACTTCTCTCCTTGTGTATACCGGAGCCAGTCATTTGTACCTCACCTCATGGGGTTTTCCTAACCTGACATTAATTAAATCTACTCTCAGCTGGCAGTAGATATCTTGGAAATCCCCATCATCCACAGAGAAACATAAAAACTACTAATTACTCAGGGGTCACTCACACATGCACCTCAGCATCTGTTCTTACAAAGATAAAGAAAGGGGGGCAGGAAGTGCATTCAGACTTGCAAGATTCTTTTACTGTAATCTTATTATAAAAGTAGTATTAGCATGCATGACTTTGGTATCCTAGTCTGGTCTACCTTGCAAGTCTAAATGCGCTTCCCTGCTCCCTCTCTTTATCTTCGTGAGAACTAGGGAGGGTTTGTCTTGGTTCTGGCTCTTCCTCCTGTTCCTCAAGGTTATTCCTTCTTCCCATTATTTATTTATTTATTAAATTTGTCCCCCGCCCATCTCCCCCCAATGGGAGGATATATAATTATATATATTATAGCTACTAGCCTGTGCTTCCATCACCTATATTTGTGCAAGACAACAGCATAAGCCAACTTGTTATAGCCACGGCATGCAAAAATACCACCAGAACTATCACTGACCCAAACACATGGAGTTTAGCAGATTGCACTTAAAAGATTAGTACCCTTATCCCTCTTCCAGGCTGTTCCCACCAGTACTATGCCTCCCTTGATGTCAAAGGATATTACTGGATGTGGGGCAGCACAGCCTTTAATATCCTGGCAATTTGGGGAAAAGTTGTGCCTTAGGATACATCCTTCCTGACATCATCATCCATGAGATCAGTGGCCCACAACATCACCATCACTTCCCAAAAGCACAGCAAATATCTCATAAAACCGGTTGGTAATTTCCTTTCATTCCAGAGTAAGGGCACTTCTGCTGCAACTTGGGGTCATTGAGCCAGAGTAGAGATGGCAAATATCTCCACTGAAGTAGAAAAAGTATTTTATACCACTGTGGATGCTGTTCATTCCCCTAGAAGGAACTGAAAGGTATAGAGCACATGGGGATGGACAATTGATTAGCTTAGCCTATTTGCTAGCATCCCAAGGAGGCATATGCAAGCTGGTGAATCCTTTCTGCGGTGTGTGGGTAAACAAATATAATAAAGTTGAGACTAATGTTGACTTTCATAAGAAGACTAGGCTAATGCATGCAGCATCTGAAAACCAGGTTGTTGATGTTGATAACTTTGGAAACTGGCTGAAATCCTACCAGATTTCTCCTTTCTATTTCTTTTGGGCAGAGAAAATGCTCTTCTTTTTGACACCCCTTCTGGCCCTATTGCTTATTTACCTTTGCTTTATGTGCTGTTCCATTTGCTGTTGTATATGTATTTCCTTTCTACTATGGCTGCCTGGACAGGTGAATGATTGCCATCCCAATACAGCTCATGTTCTACTTTGGACACTTGAAAACACAGGGGAATGTGAAAGGAATTCTTATAGGTGAAAGAATTTTGTTCCATCTGTATATATCAGCAATGAATTCAAAATATTCATTGCCTTTGCTTGCCTGCATTACTTAAAAGGCTAATATATCTAGCTTAACTGCCAATCTTAATTGCCAAATCATCTTCCCCCTATATGTACCCAAACTACTCCATCATGACATACATCCTCCCAGACTTTCAATGTTTATAATATAAATGAGTAGTCTTTGATTCACAAACTTTATGTGTCCATCAAGTGCAACATCCTCAAGGGTAATGAGAATGGGTATATTTACATTTGTGGAGTCCTTGGTACTCTATGAGCTTGGTTGTTTGGTTGCAGATGTTTCATTACCCAACTAGGGAACATCATCAGTGGCACTGCAAGTAAACATCTGCAAGTAAACAACCAAACTCAGAGAGCACCAAGGACTCCACAGTTCAACTCTAAGCTACATATATTCTCTTCTATATTTACACTTCTCCCATTTAATTAGTACATTGACATTTTCACTTTTCAAGCTAAGTATTCTGTATTACAGTGTTCTCCTTCCAGACACAGATTCTTATGTACTCCTTAGCAATTGTAAAGCAAGCAACGTCTACAATCAATGTATACGTATGTTCATTGTTAGCCTCTGTAACTCTGAATAAGAACTCTGTTAACCAGCTTCTGGCATTCTCTGCTTTGATAGCAGAAGACCACTGACTCACTGTAATCTCCTAGGTTTAATAAAATGATGTTCTCTTCCAATTCTTGGAGTGTTCTTAAGTGAGTTTTTCTATCACACTATGTGTGAATATGCATGTCCTTTTCTAAGGGAGTATGTGGTTACAGATAACTGGTACAAAGATCAAATTGACTTTGGATATACCAGTGATACAAAAGAACGTAGAAGGGGCAATGTTTATCAAACTGTTGCTATGGTGATCTGTATGGTACTGCTAATATAACCAGCATAATTAATAATAATTTAGCAACCCAGAGTCACTGGTCTGAGATGGGTGGCTATATAAATTGAATAAAATAAATAAATAAATAAATAAATTATATGCCCCCCCAACTCCCAGTGATTCTGAGTGGTTTACAAATTGTTAAAAACATTTGAAACAGCAACACAGAACAAAAAAGAGCAGAGATGGCAGAGATAACAAACCCAGATAGGAACAAAGAAAAGTGGGCTTCAATCATGCTAGCCAAAGGCCTGGGTGAAGAGCCAGGTCTTCAGGGTCCTTTGAAACATCAATAGGGTGGGAGCCATTCAAACCTCAGCATGGATAGTGCGGTTGGGGAAGATGGGAGTACTCAAAGGGCTCCAGGTTGATGAACAGTATAGCTGTGTCAGAATAATTTCCATGTAGGTGTCAGAACAGCCAGATATTCTTTGTGCTATTACTACAGACAGGCTTTCATTGCAAATGCTATATTGATTAATTCCAATGCTTTGTACAATTTTATTCCTGCTTTGATGTCACTCCTAAGTGTTGCAAAAACAAGAAGCAATGGAGAATTTTGTATGAAGAACTGCTGAAAAGAAACTGGGAGGAAATCATCTATTTTACCAGAAACCACAGGTTGTTATAGCAACAAAGCAGGAGTAGAAGGTACAATGCCTTGGAGGAGTAGAGCAAAACCTAGAGCTACACCTAGCTCAATATTTTAAAAAAAGGGGGGGGGGATTTCAGGTTATGAAACTCCTCCAGTAGGAACGGACACTAATTTTCCTGTTACTCTTTGCAGACATCTGCAGTTCTGTTGATGCTGTGATACTACTGGATGTGCTGAAGAGTTCTTCTTCCCTCAAGAAGGCCAGGCAATCAGGAGTCTGAGAATATGATGGGATCATTATGCTGAACAACCAAACAAATTTGGCTATATGATAACATTAGTGACAACACATGAAGTCAATGCTTTGCTGTCTGCTTCAGTGTTGTGGTAAAAATTAGGAATCTCTTATTCCAAAGCTACTTTGTGATGTGTCAGTCCTTGCCTTGGCAGCAGAAACATATTCCCTTCCCCACAAACTTGTTTATACGCCTCTGCATGTTTTCTCATCTTCACCTATAATATGTTGAAAATAGAAATAGGTTGATCAACAATCTCTAATAGTGTATCCTTGTATGCTTCTGTTCGCACATTAACTGCATCAATTCCATGGTCACAAACTTCTCATAACCATTTGGTTTGCCTAACATGGGAACAGAATGGTTGACTAAATGAGCTTTTCTCTTCTGAAGTCTTTCCAACCCTAACTAGATCTGGTGCGTCAAAACAACTGGGATTAGTTTCTTATGCAACACCTGCTACCATTATATTCTATATTAAATCGCTCAATTACAATAAATCTCTCCATTAAAATATGCAAGACAACCATCCACAACACCTCTTTTGACTGTTGTTGAAGAAGACTAGAAGAGAGTTGTCAAGAAAGGTTATTTAGAATCTGACAGAAAGAAGCAACTGCTCATGTTAAATTGATTCACGCAGATCCTCCAAACAATACATCAAGTATATTTTTCAAATTTCTCTCAAGGAGACAAGAAAAACATTACCAATTTTTCCACCTACCTTAGCAGCACCAATTTGCTCTTTTCGAAATTTCTCCAGAGGTGTGATTAGGACTTCACTCGCATTCTCAATCTGACAAGGAAAAGGAAAAGAAATGCTTACTTTCTACTAAGTCTAAGCATCCACATTCCCATGCTCAATTACTATAATTCTCTCTAAACATGACAGATTTTTTTTCTTCCTAGAAGATCCGTATGATTCAGAATTTTACACACCATATAATTAGGGATCCCCTGATTTCAATTTTACAAAAATAACTGATGTTAACTAACTACTTGAAGGCTGAACAATTCAAGAACAGCAGTTATTTACACAGCTTCTTTAGAAAATCAAAAAGAAAGTTATGGCATCAAACAGTTTCAGAAAATAGCTGGTTGCTTCTGCTGAGCTGAGTATATTACTGGCATGTAACCTTCCCCTTTTCTGAGTTTGGAAACTAAACAGGTCAGGCCTGGGTAGTATTTGGATGGGAGAGTTCTACTGAATGCCATGACTATAGACTAGGCTGGGAAGTTGAAAAAGCATCTCAAAAGAAGGCAATGGGAAGCTGCTTTCATTTGTTGTCAAGGCACATCCATGAGGTCACCAAGAGTTGAGCTCAACTTAAAGTTAATGTTAATTTTTTTAACCTACAAACTTATAAAATGATGCAGTAGTTCCCAATCCCTTCCTTTAGGTCAGTGTTGTCCAAACTTGGCCACTTTAAGATGAGTGGACTTCAACTCCCAGAATCCGGGGCTGGGGAATTCTGGGAGTTGA